CCCCAAAACCCCAAAACCCCAAAACCCCAAAACCCCTGAGGGGTAATTTATAATAGAATTTTTATAAAAATGAAGAAGAGAAAAATGGTAGGGTGAATTTTGGACTCAAGAAGAAAAATGATTTGATCGAAGATTAAAGAACGTTGAAAATAAATAAACCAAATTAGAGTGGATATCTCAAGATCCCAAATCACTTACAGCTCTTGGTGCATATTATTCAAACTCTTGGAATTTTAGCAAAATTTCCAGCAGTTTCAAAAAATTTAAATCATTATAAATTGCCTTGATATATCCGCATATACTTACTACATTTATAATAAATTTAAACTTCGGGTAAATATCAACTCACTTTTCTGGACAGACTTGAAATTCTAAAATATGATGATATCATCCATTCATTTCTGAAAACTTTTAATAAAATTTTCAATATGAAAATTTCTTTTTCCTATTAGTATTCTTAGCTTAAGCTATACTTCACGATTTTTCAATGAACAATGCTGTTTGGTTGAAATCTGACTAAATATTCTCTAAACATAACCTTTTCCTAGATTTTCAAAAATCCTCTAAATATATTCATATTTCTGATAATGCTGATACGATGCCAAAATTGAATTCATCATCGATATGAATTCTCAGGAATGAGGTAACTCAGTATAAATTACTGTCTAGCTCTGTACCTACCCAGTTCACTGATTCCACAGGCAATATTAGTGCTCCTGTGTTCACGTTTCCTGGAGGTAAACTTGGTCCTGATAGCATTAGGAGCCGATGATCCAACAGTCTTAGCCCAAGGAATATTTGTAGAAGCAGACAAGTAGTTTAAAGAATAATTTTATAGGCACTTGATACAGTCGGCAGCATTCCAAACATCTTCGGGGACATCATCATATGAGATTTGGGTCTACATCTTTGTACTAGAGTTCAATCGCATGTACAGAGGAAGTGTTCTAGTAAGGCTATAGGTTCTATCTCTTTAGGATAGCGGAAATACTCGAGGTATAGAGCTAAAGATATAGTGTCTGGTAAGTTTTAGTATGATAACTACTCATTTAGATTTCTCAGACTGGGCAGGGCAATTTGTATACATAAGGATATCCTAACTTATAGTTGTACCATACTCAAGAATCTAAAGGAGGATCTGTTACAAAGGGATGGAATAAAATAGGTGCAACTTTTGATTCCAGCTCTGCATCGCATCACATTCTGAATTCAAAGAACGGTCTAACGTCCTCTGACATAGACATCTCAGCATCAGCTACGACTGCTGGTGTCAAACTAGGGTGAATCCTTGCATGAACTAATGGCTACATTATCCATAGTCTTTCTTTTCGTGATGACAACATCCTTGGGATACCTTTTAATCCATATGAAGTGACTAACTGTAAGCTTTTTAATAATTCTCCTTCAGTGTTTGATACATGCGGAGACGGAACAATACAAACAGCTAATGTTGAAGAATGTGATGATAGTAATTAATGTTGATGGGGATGGATGAACAGAAGCATGATTACTTGAAACTTCAAGTTGAAGTGCAAATCCTGTATCTTGAGGAACAGCTCTTTCATCATCACCACCTCCAGCTTCTTCACCACCTCCAGCTTCTTCACCATCTACTACATGTGGAAATGGGAATGTTGAAAATGGAGAAAATTGAGACGATGGAAATACAAACGGTGGAGATGGATGTAATAGCTCTTGTAACGTCGAACAAGGCTGGACTTGAACTGGCGGCTCAATCTCTACTCAAAGTGCATGTAGTATTCAATGAACAGTTCAAAACTGTCAAACTTGAGATGCTAATAATTCTACAATTTGCTCAAAGTGAAATAATGGGTATAATTTACTACAAAATAAAACTTGAAGATATTTTGAAGTATCAAGTCAGGCAAAAACTATGTCATCTACTTTTCAAGTTACAGCCGGAATTGGAGCATGTTTCGGTATAATAGCAAGCCTGATAAATTTATCATCACCAGTAGGAGTGTGGGCAATGGCTAATCAGATACAGCTTATGCTTCTGTTCCTATTGACTAATTCTTCCCTCCCGTCTGATGTAATTGAGTATATAACCTCCAATGATATATTTTCGTTCAATATGAAATTTCTACCGGTCACAAGTATCTTTATTATGAGGATTCCAATGGAGTGGATTGAAATAGAACAAAGTAATATCTATCTTGACGATATCGGTATTGAATCAGGGAGTTCATTTAACAATAATATCAGAATATTATTGATCTTCGGTATTCTTGGACTTTTGCATCTTATTGTGAACTGCCTTCCCAGACAAGTATCAGAAACTCAATCTAAAACCAAAAGAATCCTTTGAAAGGTCTTTGGATATTTATGGGAATTACTAACTTTTGCTATCCAAATCAGAATAATCCTAGAAGGGTTCCAATATGTATTATTATCTAGTATCAGTGAGATCAAGAAGTTTGATGATACAAGCACTAAATCCATAGTCTCTTTGTCAGTTGCTATTCTTTTGGTTTCATCTTGCTCTTTTATTTTAGTGCTTGCAATTAGCCACTATTTGAGCAATATATCTGAAAAGAATGAACATGAAAAATTGGGAGAATTCTCAGCAGGATTGAAGAAGCAGAGGAAAGCTAGATTTTACACACCATTACTTGTTTTCAGAAGGATCTTATTGTGCTCATGGCTGATCATTTTTAGTCGTCAGTCAAGTACAGTTTTAGTTTCAGTAATGCTTGCAACTCAGTTTGTATATTTCTCAGTGCTTATTTATATTAATGCATTTGAAGAGAAGCAAAATGCCTTGATTGAATATATCAATGAAGCTTTCTTTATATTTTTGATAGTGTATTTATTAAAATACAACAGTGAATCAAAATGGAAATCAACTCCAAAGAATGTCTATCTCTATATAATGATGAGCAATAATGGAATAATAGTATTGATCCTTTGAAGTAAGTAACTCTCCTTTACTTCTCATCATAATATTTTCATCTAGTTTGTAGTGCCTTCTCTCTTATTTCAAAGCTATCATGTAAACCATCCAGGTCAAAAAAAATTATGAATCCTATCAATAGTCGAGCTCCTAATGTATTTTTGTTTTATATTTTAGATTCCTTCTGCTACAAAGTTCAGAGTGACAGAGATTTCTTCCTCAAATATCCACATGCATTCACCTCACAGATATTCTTTAAACAGATCTCCAAAACTTGCTGCTCCTAGACAGGGAGCCAATAAAAATGCTAAAATACAGCCAGTTCAATTTTAAATGCAGATTCAAAATAGCCTTCTCGATATGAGTTTATTTGCTTCGACTATTAATTTCCACTGTGAGTACCATTATCCTTGACACTTTAATTATATACATTTAGTATAAACACTATCAACACAAAATCCCTCACCCGGGGTTTTGGGGTTTTGGGGTTTTGGGGTTTTGGGG